TCAATGATGTAAGCCCTTCGTTTCTTCTGTGGTTGGGGTGGAGAATTCTGGCTGTCTCTGGAGAAGAAATTGAAGGTGCAGCCTGTGTAATTCTGCGATGGAACGGGAGCAGCACAACTGAAGGCTTCCATGCGGTACTGCGGAGACTGCAATGGAAAACGTGGTTGAAATCCTGAAAATTCAGCTGGCTGAAAACCAGGATTGGAACCCATGGCCTGATACATTTGGCCTTGTTGTTGGACGTGATAAATAGGAACCAGAGGTGTTCGTTTATGTTGGACTGCAATCTCTTGATTTGAGGCTTGATTTGCAGTGTTTTGGCGGGTGACTTCGTTTGCTTGATTTTCGTTTGACACGTCTTTATATCCACTGATAATGTGAGACAGTTCTTTCCTGTGATTCTCGTCTATTTCATCGTACTCGTCTAACGAAGATTCACGTGCATGGCCTGTTATTTCACAGATGATATTGCGCGGTTGACCAGATTTTTTCAAAATGGAATTTTTGAAATCTCATTTGTTGTTTGTTTTAAGTGTAAATTCCTCATTGGTTGGAAAAAAGATGCGATTTAGAGCAAAAATGGTGCGATTTGGGAATAAATCGCACCAATTAGAGCCAATCAGATTACAGGGACCACCAGTGATTTCAAAATGGATGTAATAAAATGTTTTATAAACAGGAAATAAAATAGTCACTGGTACTTGTTGAGTTTCACAGAAAAAAAAAGGTAATCTTATAGTTATAATTATTTATTACATGGGCAGTTACACCTTATATAGAAGTCAGGAGGTTGATGAAAGTTTGAAATGATACATCTCATGCATGTACCTGACATTAGAAAGAACATAGTGAGCAAAAAATTTAGACCGAAATTGATGGAAAATATTTCACCTATGAATGAGTAATTCCTTGCGCTGGCAAATTATTTTGAATACTTTCTATGTTTTGCGTTTGTAGGCTAATGACAGGAAACTGAACGTCACTTTGCTGAGCAGCGAGTGGAGATCATCAACTGATGGAGACCTGTCAACCATCAACAGAGAGCTTGCCATACAGTTAGCTAAACACTCTGATGTCGAAGTTACTGTCTTTCTTCCTCAATGTAGCGAAGAAGACAGGAGGAATGCAGCAAGTCATAATGTTCAGCTTTTGGTTGCTGAAAGGCTGCCTGGTATGAATCCAGTCGACTGTCTGATGTTTGTCCCAGATATACACCTCATGGATTTTGTAGTAGGACATGGAGTAACTCTTGGCAGACAAGCGCAGTCCATTACAAGATATCGCCACTGCATATGGATCCAAGTTGTTCATACTGCCCCAGAAGAACTTGGAATGTACAAAAGCGTTTTACAAGGTAAACAAGTGCTAAAAACAGAAGATGCTTTGTGTCGGATGGCTGATCAAGTTGTAGCAATTGGATCAAAGCTGGCAGACACTTACAAGCGTTACCTTCGTAGCAGTGGAAAAGAGCAAAATGTTTTTGATGTCACTCCAGGCATATTCTCTGAATTTTTGGATGTGGAGCAAGTCGCTGAAGAAAGAAGAACATTCAGTGTTCTAGTCATCGGAAGTGATCACAACTGTGAAGATTTCATCTTGAAAGGTTATGATCTTGCAGCTCAAGCAATTGCCGAGTTGAAAGATAAATCCTACCAACTCAGGCTTGTTGGTGCACCAAGAGCAAAAGAAGATGAAATAGCAGATAAGATTCTTCAGCTTGGCATCGATCGTAATCAGCTGATTGTTGGCAGTTTCAGTGGCAGCAGAAAAGTATTAGCCAACTTATTCCTTCAGGTTGACCTTGCCATCATGCCATCCACAACCGATGAATTTGGACTCATGGCTCTTGAGGCCTTATTTGCTGGTTTACCTGTACTTGTCAGTGGTAATTCAGGACTTGGAGAAGCACTGAAGGAGGTGCCTCTTGGATCACAGTGTGTGATCGACTCTGAAGACCCCAAAGACTGGGCCAAAATGATCAAGGAGGTACGAGAGAAAAAGAGGGAGGTGCGACTTTTAGAATCAAGGCTTTTGCGTGAAAAGTATCTGGAGAAGTACAGCTGGGAAGAGCCCATTAGAAGGCTTGTAGAAAGGCTGCACAATCTTAAACTTGGTGAGCTATTTTGAATAGGACAAGTGAATTTAGTGATATCTAGTTCACTATCAGAGTCCACTNAAAAGAGAAATTATGAGCTAATCATGAAGAGAGTCTAACCTTCAAAGGCAATTGTACGAATTTTTATTTTGTACCTGTAGATTCAGAAAGAAGACCAGTTATTGCAACCAGAGATAAGAGACCACCTTCCACTGTTTTAGGGGATCAACAGTTTAGAAAATTTAGAAAAGGACTGTCTCGTTTTGATCAGTATGAAGATAATATGGGGATATTAAATGATGCCAATTTCTTGTTCGTTTTGAAGTCTCCCAAACTTGCAGTAGGCCACAATATCTTTAAAACCTTCCCTATGTCTTTCCACGTTTCATACTGGAGTCGATTGATGGGGTTGTAATTAACTGATGCGATGTTTTTTTCAGCTCTGAAAGGCTCTTCTGGTAGTCACTCTTCTCTTTCGTTTACGAAATATCGCCTTTTTCCTTCAACCTCTTTGACGCACGTGAAACCTGTTCAACAAAGATGTTACACTCAGGGTTAGTGAAATTTCTAATTTCTAATAAGTTACCTTACATTCTCTTTATTATGTTGTTTTAATAAGGTAATGTCGTAATATTAAAAAGACCAAGCACCTTCCACTGTGTTAGGGAATCACCATTCTAAACAATTCAGAGGAGAACTGCTTATATAATTTTGATCAGTATAAAGGTAATATCGGGATATTAAATGATGCGAATTTTCTTGTTTTGTGTCAAGTCTCCTAAATTTGAATGCCTTGTAAAGCTCACCAGTAGGCCACCATATCTTTCAAAACCATGCCTATGTCTTTGCACGTTTCACAGTGGAGTCGATTGATGGGTTGTAATTAACTGATGGGATGTTTGTTTCAGCTCGGAAAGGGTTTTTTGATAGTCACTCTTCTTTTTCGTTTATGGAGTATGGCACTCTTCTCCTTGGTGAAATTTCTAATTTTTAATAAGTTACTTTACATTCTTC